TCATCATGTGGTATATGAAGTCCTGTCATTACTTCTCTTCCACTGTTCTTACAGAGCCTTGTTTGAGAATTCTGATGCAATTATAGGAAATAATGTAAACCTAGAATATAAAAAGTTGAAGGCTGTCAGAAAAAAGAATGCTGGGGATTGTATCGTTCTGAGCATTCACCCTTGGTATGGAGAGGATACCCATTACTCTCAAGAGTCACTCCCTCTAAAATTTTAAAGTTTTGCCTAGAGTTGAGCTGTATTTTGGTTCACTCTGTCCCAGATTGTTTCCTCTTGGTTTTGGCTTCTTACATTAGTAATCATAGTAATTATCCTGTATGCTGTACCTCCAGAAATCCTTCAGACTTGCAAGACAAAAGTAGAGGGCTCCTACTGTGGCTGTGAATTACAGGACATGCAGGAGGAGATGTGATACATTCTAATTAAGTACTGTATTTAAAAAAAAAAAAAACCACAACAAAACCAAACAAAAAACAACAAACAAAACCAAACAACAACAACAAAAAAAACCCAACAAAAACCTCTTAATTCTTAAAGAACTCTCATTCTTAAACTTCTAAATGTTGAAAGACCAGCCTGATGGTCTCCAGTGTATTTGGGTAGCTTGACAGACATTTTGTCATCTTTACCCATGCTGGTAATGGAGTGGATGTGACACTGGGTTTGACTCTTAGGTTGTCTAGAATAAGTGCCAGTGTTGCTGCACCTATATGGCAGAACACTTCATCAAGATCTGTGAAGACTTTCTGCTGATCCAGGGAGCTGTCAGGCTGCCCTTCCTCAGCACATTCAGTTGCCATAGGGGAATACCCAAATTGTAGAATGAAGTTAGCATGGTGGCTATTTTCAGTGATGCCATGAGATCTTGAATGTTTTTGCAAGTAGGGTTGGACCACCAAGTAATAATAAAGTGGAAATGACAAAGGTCAGTTCAGCATTCAGAATTTTGTGGTTAGAAATCTGTTTGGCATCAGCCTCTTAGAAGCTGTCATTATGGAACAGCATTTGATTTCAGAACTGTAATGCTTTGCAAACTGCAGTTTAATAATAAAGCCCTTTCAGGACAAGTAAGTCTTATCAGGGAAAAACTTGAAAATAACTTAGAGCGTTGTGGTAGTTTTGAATTGATGCAGAATTTGTTATCCTTGTTATGTGAAAGGTCACTTAAACACACCTCTGATTCCACCAGCTCTAGATTTTAGGTGGATGTGCTTTACAATACTAGTCATCATCAGCTTGTGCCTAAGATTGCTAAACGAAAAATTGGGGGTGGGGGATGTATGTACACACACACACACACATATATATATATATATATATATACACACACACACATACATGTATGCTTGTGTGTGTGTATATATTTGATTTTTCTTACAAAACACAAGGCTTTTTCAATTTTAATTATTTCAGCTTCCCCAACGTAAGTAACAAAATCGGTATGTGTCACAATGTCAGCCTATCACAAGCAAACATTGAAGCAAGTTATGCTGAAATGCACACAGGATTGTTTTTGAGATAAATGTGACTTTGTTAGCATAATAGCTTCTTGGGGCACTGTAAGGTGGTTGGAGAAGACAAATGGACACTAACAACCTCCAGTTCTAGTATTAATTGCTTTAAGCTTTCCCCGTGTTGGTTTAGTGACACATATATAATAAGGAAGTTCCGAATAGTTCAGCAAGGTGAATGGCAGAAAATTCAGTATTGTCATCACAGCCTGGGTGAAAAGCAGTACTACATCCTAAGAATTACATCTACCTGTGTGTGCATGTGTGCGCTAACTGGGTTTTCTGCTGGGTGTTGCATCCTGATTACCCACACAATTCATTTAATCCTTTATCACTAAATCTACTAAGCATAGGAATACTAATTGTTTTTAATATGGCATTGTTAAACCTGTTTTTGACACCCCTCTTTATATTTCTAAATTTAATTAAATGGCTTGGATCAAACCTAATCTATAAAGACATCTCATTTACTGACTTTACAGATCCCAGAGTGGAGGTTAAATTGCATTTTGTTTTTTACACTCAGACTTCAGATGCATTTATAAGGAAAGTACTGCACTTTTTTTTAACCTTTTCAAACCTTTGAATCTCTTAATTTCACAGCAATTTGTAAATGTTAACTAAGTGAAACCTTGGCAAGCACTACAGCAATAAGTTATCATTAATTATTGAAACATGATAACTGCTTTAGAGCTTATGGTTCTGGCAGCAAAAATTAATGCTGTTTCTTTTAATAATAGTTAAGCCATATCATCTAAGGTCTCTGGCTTGTTTGAGATGTGAATTTGTTTTATAGATTATAAATATACCTATATAGTGTATGTATAAAGCAGAATGCCTGTCCTTACTGATTATTTTTTGTACCATATTGTAAATTATATTATTTATTCTTTACCAATTTTGGAAAAAGGTGTTTTGGTTATTTAATATAATATACAAAAGCTGTTAAACTTCCTCTGTTTAAATTTCCAATTCAACTTGTAAAGCTGTTTTTATTCTTGTGCATAAATACATACTAATACTTGGTCTAAATTATGTCCAGTGTGTTACTTGCTGTTCATGCCCTATCAGATGTTTCTATTTAACCTTTATTTACATAATAATGGCCTCTTGGGGGAGGGCAGAAAATTTGTCCATAAGGCCAAGCATTCCAAGGTGAAATCTGGTTTCACTGAAATCAGTGTCATAACTTCTCTTGACATCTCCCATCGCAGAATTTTCATGATTTTCACCATGGTGAGAGAAGGTTTTGGTTGGTCTTTGGTTTGGGTTTTTTTTGCTTTACAGCTTCCATTCCCAGTAGTGTCTGCTAATAGTGAGTGTCAGAAATGGGTCAAGCCAGAGGGCTGTTTGTCTTGAATGTCCTGTCTTTGTCTATGGTCACCAGTACAAGGGGAAGAAAGAAGAAAAAAAAACCCACCACACAGAGGAAATGGGAGCAATAAAAAGGGTATTGTATATCTTGGTGTGTATTTTTTTCCCTGATTTTTTTTTTTTTCCTTCACAGCTTCACATAAGCAGGAATTATATTTATTTATTTATTATTCACATATTGTTATTTTATATATTCACATATTATTTTTATTATTCACATAAGCAGATGTAGAGGTTGTATTCAGGCCATCATGTTTTATATAGCCACTACCAGAAAAACTTTGTCACCCTGAAGACAAACAGGAAGAGGAACAGGTTTCCCAGAGTTGTGCAGTATCTGTCTTCAGAGCTTCCCAAGGCAAAAACATAAAGCCCAGAGGAAGCTGGTCTGATCTAGCTCACCCGGCTTTGAGCAGGGGGTTAGACTCTAGGCCCGAGGTGCCTTTCAAACTGAATTATGCTGTAATCTGTCATAAGTAATTTAATTCCTTTTTGTACACATTTAGGATTTTGGTCTCTGCAATATACAGATTTTTTAAATCCTTGAAGACAAAAGCAGCACTATGGCTGCCTCTACATCTACTTCTTGACGCCTGGAAAGCTGGGGAGCCATTAAATAAAACTTTCAGCTGTTAATGTTAACTTGTAAAGTTATTATCAATTAAAAATACGTGGTTAGAAAGGCCATGCAGGTCTTGGCTCCCTTAGCGTTAACTACCAGATTCTCCAGGAAAGCACTGGCTTACAGCAGCTGCCCAGCTGCAGCCGGCCGAGCTGTGAGCTATTCACAGACACCGTTTCCTGAGAGAGGGGTAAGGGGTGAGTTAGAGCAGATGGGTTATGATCAGGTTACATGCAGGGGTCGATAATGGTGTGTCCACTTTGCGTCCCCCCCGCTGTGCTCTGTGAGACTGAGGTGCTCCGACACGATGCTAAAGTAACCAGGTTATAAAGTTGTCTCTGAGGTTACTCCTTATGCTGGTCTTCCTCCTGATTTTTACGTTGACGTTTTTGGGGTGAAATGCCCTACGAGGCCCCCCAGGGGCCTAGCTGCACGGCTGAAGCACGGGCCGGAGCCGCCCCCCCTCGGGGCTGTTGCAGCCCTTCGCCGCAGGGAGCCACAGCCCCGCCGCGGACAAAACTCGGCCCTTGTGCGGGAGGCGGGCCCAGCTGGGCTCGTCCAGCGGGAGG